TTTTTTTTGTAAAATGCTTGCTTGATAAAGGTACTTTGAATGAAAATGCCCCCGATCTTCAGTTCTTCACTCTTGGAGATTTTGAGGCCGCATTTGCTTTTGCTGACACGAGCAAATTTATTATCAGCATTGAACAATTCTTCATCGGCCATTACTTGTGTCTTTTTTCTTTTTAGTCCCATTAAGACTAAATTTCAATTGCAGGCAAGTTCAAACCCGTGATAAAGAAGGCAATGGTCGAGCTAGAAGGCGCCCCGTTCAAGAAATTTGCATCCATGCGTGAAGAGTGGGCTCTTAATAACCGATATCTGAATCCTGGTAAGATTTTAGGCTCATTCACTTTTGAGATTGTTTGTTTGTTTGTTCGCAATTATCTTCGAGACTCTTATTCGAACTTAACTGACTGACGTGCGTAATTTTCTCCTTCCTTCACTACAACAACAGGCCCCATTCAGTTTTCGGGTCCGGCATCTGATAACATTAATCACACTTTACTGCTGGAACTCGGGGCTCAACTGTAAATGTGTGCTGCTCGTTGTTCTTTCTCGTGAGTGCTTCTATCACTAAGATGTTAAATTCTGTTGCTCCTTAAGAAATGACCAAATGTTTTGATTGGGATATTACACAAATGGATGGTAAAAAAAAGTTTTTTAAGTACATTATTGATTGTGCCCTCCTAATTGAGATTCATTATTTTCTTGTTTTGGTTAGGAAGTAAGAAAAAATTCTTTCATATATTCTGAATTTATTAATTTGCCGTCAGATGCATGAGAGCCGGTCCTGAATCTTATCAGGGCCAAATGTGCCAATTTTTTTTTTTTTTTTTTTTTTTTTTTTTTTTTTTTTTTTTTTTTTTTTTATGAAGTTCATAAAAATAAAAGGCATACTGTTACTATGCATAATTTAAAATATAACTAAAACTAAATTTGTGAATAACTATGAATGACTCTATAAGCCGAGTCGTTTGATGACTCCACAGCAAAACCGTATATGTGGTAGATAGTGAAAGAAATAAATAATAGTAGATAGTGAAAAAAATAAAAATAGATTTTGTACAATTAGATCTAACATATATTAGGTCATGATCAAATCAAATCTTAAATATCGTAGTCAACTATGTTGTGGCAATTTCGTAAATAAGTGGTCATATCGTGGTTAAATGTTTACATTTAACCATTCATTAATGGTATTTTGATCATTAACAATCAATCACAATCACCTAGTGGACCTCACCCCAACCACTAATCCTAATATCACACTCCCTCACACACTAAACACACACACACACACATGCGCTCGCACACACACACATAGAGTACAAGTCGGTGACCTTACCCCGGAGGAAGAAGATGACCTCCCTGGCCGCGAGCCGCCGCTTCCGTCAATAGCGCTGGAGAGATTGGCGACTGGGTGGTCCTCAGCGATCGACCGTCTTCTTTTTAAGCGTCGATAGGCAACGTTGAGGTCCGAGGCGGCAGATCTTCATCAAAGCACTCGTTGTGTAGATGGTAGAGGTGGCCAGCAGGAAGGTGGTGGTTTGAATGGTGGTGTATTGTTGTCCATGCAGGGAGCAGCAGTGGCGCTGAGTGGAGGACTGCGTCGGCGACGACGGCAATGGGAGATGGGCGGAGGAGTAGGTACAAGAGCGCGATGGTGAGAATCGTTTTATGTTGAAGGCTGTGACGACAATGGAGCAAGGGGCTCGGGAGGCGGCGGTGGGGCGGAGAGGCCCCAACGCCGATGAAGGTGTGAGTATATTGTCTTCTCCACCTCGCTGAGTCGTGGTCGTCGTACCTCGGATCACGGTGGACGCAATGACGACAAACGGATATTGCGTCGAACCTCGGGTTACGGTGGTCAGCAGTGTTGGAGATGACTGGCTTGGGAAATGATCGGGAGTTTCAAATTTCGAATTCAGGGGCTTCATTTTGTAAATTTGATAAGTCTTAAGAACTTGATTTCAATTTCCTATTATATTAAAATTTAGTTTATAGGTCAAATTTGTAATTAATCAAAGTATAAATAATATTCAATATTTTTATTTAATATTTGATTGAAAATAAATAATATGTTACATAAAGAAAAATAACAATAATACTTGTTTTATATGGTCGCTTGGTTATTTTTGTTATGTAAAAAAAACCGACATTGAACCGAAATAACCGAGTTTTTAATAGTAAAGAAAGACAGTAATTTAAATTTTAAACTGAAAAATTTAATTCGGTCGGTTTCGTTCGATATTATGCAATCTATTAGTCACTAATGGATGTTCATACATATTTAGTTCATATCAACTCATATTTAACATACATATTTAGTTCGAATCGTAAAATAAAGTAATTTTCATTATATAAATAATTTGATGTAATATTTTCTTTTTGTTTTATTATTTTATAACCACTGTAATACGTAATGCTTTTTTACTTCATTTATTATGCATATTTAGGCAATAAGTAATGTATATTTAGTTCATCACAGTGCATATTTTAATTTATGTGAGGTCCAACCCAACGAGAAATTCTATGGTGCCACATGTGACACCATATTATGGTGCCACAACATGATGTGACACATTATAATTGGTACCACAACTATCACACATCATGTTGTGGCACCAATCATAATGTGCCACATCATGTTGTGGCACATCATGTTGTGCCACATCATGTTGTGGCACCATAATATGTGCCACATGTAGCACCATAGAATTTCTGCCAACTATAGCCATTTATTCGTGTACATCAATATGAGTCATATTAATCAATTGAAATTTACATTAATTATATAATAAAAAATAATATTTTGTATTATATTAAAATTATTTATATAAAATGCACAATTATTTGAATATTTTTATTGCACATTTCATGCAAAATGCGCATTTAATTCATAAGTAGTTCATATTTAGTTAATTGCATACTTAGTTGATATTGTTGTTGTATTTGTTATATAATTAATTTGATATAATATTCTATAAGTAGTTCATATTTAGTTAATTGCTTACTTAGTTGATATTGTTGTTGTATTTGTTATATAATTAATTTGATATAATATTTTTTTTATTATATAATTATTTTAATACATAATGCGTATTTAGTTAATTCATTATGCATATTTAGTTCATACGAAATGCATAGTTAGATCATCATAGTGCATATTTAATTCATGGATGTCCAATCATTGTTATTTATTTGTGTATATGAATGGGTCATACTATTGCTGCATATTTAGTTCATGCAAAATGCGCATTTAACATATTTAGTTCACAAACAATGCATACTTAGTTGATATTATTAGTGTTCATTCAGTTCATAAAGATTGTATATTCAATTTATAACAAATGCATATTTAGTTCATACTTGGTGCATACTACTAAGTGCATATTTTCTTCATACCTAATGCATAGTACGATCAATAGGTCTTGCCGGAATTCAACACTGGAGTAAACTCTCAACGCCGAAGTCAAAAATCAACGATCAAACATTTAAATAATATTTAAATAATTAAAATAAAGAAACTAAAAGGTTAAATATTGGTCAGACGGGACATTTGGCCTTACTCTCGGCTAATCCCTAGATCCCCAATTTCGTTCTTCTCACCCAACTTCAAGTTCTCATCAGCAGCGCCCCCCCACCGGCGTTTCCCGACTTTCTCAACCCGATTTGTGTTGGTTGTGGTTGGTCCGACGTCTTGACGTCCCCTCCTCTGGTGCGTCTCTTCGAGCTTCCGGTGCCCATGGCGGAGGGTGAGGGGGTGTTCGGCGTGTCGTCAGTTCTTCCTAGGTCGCCGCCTCTGAGTGCTGTTTTGGCGGCATTTTGGGGCCGGGGTTCGCGTCTAGCTCACACATGGGTTCGACCGATCTATGTTGTCGGGATTAGAGGGCTCCATCTACAGCAGCAGGAGCAGCGGCAGTCCCTGTCTTCGGTTGAGGGGGGGTTATCGGTTCGTGTGAGGGTGTGGTTAGATGTGAGCTGCCCGAGTTTTTCGGAGGTGGATCCTTTGGAAGGGTGTATTGGTATTTGGCGGGACTTAGTTAGTCGGCGTTGGTCAAGAGTTTCTACTTTTGTGCTCGGATCCAATGTTTTAAGGTCTGGGGTTGTCGGCCAACTGATTTGGAGGGTTTATTCTCGTATTTTTCTTTGTGTTTTAAATGTCCTTATGTGTTTGTTGTGGTGTTTATTCTCTTTTTGGAAGTTGTATTCTCTTGTTAGGGGCTTGTGGGTGTGTTGTGTTAGCTTAGGCTGTCCATCATTTTGGTTAGGATTGAGTTTCACATACTCACTTTAAGTAAGTGAACCCATTAAAACGACGCTCTAACAAGCATTAAGTATGTAGACTCTTCATTGTTTTTTTGTAAGAATAGGGGGTAGAACAAGGTTTTATCTCAAAATCACTTGGTAGACGGGAAGAGCAGCCTACTAGGCTTATAAGTTATGTCTATTTTTCTTGTATAAACGACGTTGGACAACTCACAAGTGATATTCTAACATTTGTTTTTTCATAAAAAAATCATATTTACGATATGAAGTACAATACAATTAATTTATATTATTTTTAAAATATAACATTTCAGTCTTAAGTATGTATATCTATTAAAAAATACAATTATTTATACATATACTATTTAGTGATAATTTCTGAGTTGTCCACATCATACCTATATATATAGTTATGATAAAGGTTCGATGAATGAGATTCTTTTATTTTTCTCCTAGACATATAATAGATCCTCGAATTCCTCGCTTGAATTATCCTCCATTCCTAAATATGGTTCGGGAAAACTACAATAGTGTAGGTCCATCTTCACATGGGATTTTATTATAGGCAAAAAAATAGTATAACAAACCCAAGAGCGCTTGGATGAGATGGCTTGGGTCTCTTCCAACTTAACAGTGGTCTCGAATTCGAGCCTTGAAAATGCAGCAGTGTTAAAACTCTTGAGGGAGAGCTTTGCCACCCTTGTGGTCCTACCCGGCTCGATTCCAAATTAGTCGGTTCCCCTGTGAATTCGGAAACCGGAAGGTCCCTATACCTTAAAAAAAAATAGTATAACAAATCATGCAATTATGGGTACCAAATCTTGAAATTAAGAAGCTTTTTGGAGCGGAACTTATTTATTTATAAATTCCAAGCCAATTATATGAACTGAAAATGACATGTCACCAATTTATATATTATCATAGTCTGGTTCCCAAAGATGCATTAGATCAATATATTTTTTTTTGATAAATATATATTGCAAAAATAAAATATTTTTTAAAATTAATATAACACAAGAAAAGAAAACATAGAAGGAAATTATATTTCCAAAAATAATTATGTTTGTTAGGTGCGTTAGGTTCAGTTCGATTCCTCGTTTTGTTCTTAAAGTAACAGTAATTTCGAGATTGATCCGAAAATTTAGTTTTGTTTCGATGTTCTACCGATGGGTACTCTTCGAACGATTCTCAACAACCTAAAACTAATTTTTCGCATTTTCCACGTCATAATTTATATAAATAAAAGTAGGATATTAATAATA